TTTTTTTTTTTTTTTTCTTGGGGCAGACCATTCGCTAACCCTTGTGAAGTCACCAACCTCCCTACCTTCCAGTAACACATCTTCTTCTTCATATCAAGGGGAAAATTTCAGAGCTTGTTACTATTCATCCTTCCTCTTTATCCATGATTTCCTACTGTTTTTGTGCGCATCCCTTACTGTTTTGAGATCAATTCTACCCTTGTTTTGGGTGAGTTGGAATAGGCTATTTCTCTTTTCGTTTGCTTTATTCTTCTACTGGTTTACCCTAGAAATTATTGAAATTTCCTTACTGTTTTGGTGAATTACGCAACAATTCTGATGGCCTGGACTTGCGGCAGTTTTATGAGCATAACTTTCTCTATGTATGTCTAATTCAAGTGATTCTTAAAGCTATAGAAAGCTAAGAGATAAGGCTTTGATTAATCTATTAAACACTCAATCTTGTTCTAACGTTCTGGAGGTGGAAATTTTGTTGAAGTCTCAGATATGGAATATGATTAGAATTTTCCCTTACATCCTGTGTTTTTCTAGTCTTTTGGGAGGATTGGAGGCCTAATTGGATGACGGAAATTCTAGTATGTTTGGGGCTATTTTAGGTTGAATTCTAGAGCTTTATTTTATATTTTTCCCACTATATCCTTTGGCTGAGTTGTATTCATGGTTTTGAAAATTAAACCGAACTAGCTAGTTGAATCGGTTGAACCAATACCTGGTAGTATAAATAGTTCGGGTGCATCTTTTAAACCGTTTGAATAGTTAAACCATTTAAAACCGATAAGAACCGTTGGAGCCGCTCAAACTGAGAAATAGTTTGATCGAACGGTTTAATGCTTGAGAATAAAAGCTTGAGAAATTTGCTTCCGTGAAGCTTGAACTTGCAACCTTGAAGCCTTTATTCCAATTCTTTGCCACAAGGACAATATATTCCTTATGTCAATGGATACTTGGAATTTTATTTATCTAATAGAAATCTCAAAGTTTTTAACCAGACTATGAAGTACAACCATGGGATTCGAACACCCATTCTTTATGTTATGAAACAAAGTCTCTTCCACTTGAGACACATTTGCAATTTTTTTGTTTTATAATATATTTATTCTATTTTTAAAACCACCATTATATTAAAGTTTGTTCTTAAGGGGACTTGAACTTGTGATCTTTCTTGTAACTAACCAACCAACTACAACTACACCTAATGAACACCTTATGAAATACTTTGCATAATAATATATTTATACTATATTGATCAACCAACGATTTTATTGGTTAAACTAGTTAAACTGTTCAAATCATGAACCGAAGGTCAAAACGGTTTGACCTCCGATTCGAGTTTAAAAACATTAGTTGTATTTATTTTGGGTTGAAGTAAGTTGTATCGATACGGAAACTGCAGCAACTAGGAGGTTACGATTTTAGTTTTACAACCATCTCGAGCGAGACTGCTCTTGGAAGAATTCTGGTTATTATAAATCCTTATCATCTTAGTGTTTGGTTCTTGCATTGTATTTGATATTCTGTGACATGAGGTAAGTAATTTTATGGTTTTTTCCGTGGTTTTAAATTGAGATATTAAATGCATATTTTGAACTATTTTGAGATAGTAATAGGTCTTAACCTGTTTTATGTTGCTATTAGCATGACATGCTTGATATTAAGTTTTATAGTTGTTATTTGTTTAAGTTTAAGTATGCCTTTTCATGAGATATACCTGTTGAAACAATTTAAGTTATGTTTCCTACTTAAATACCTACATTGTATTGTCTCCAATTTTGTCATGATTCTTGTTGTCTTGCTAGTAGGAGTGTAAACACTGGTTATCATACTACTAATAATTGTTGATATTTAGATCGACATAATTCAAACCAATCAACTTTGGTCTGAAAAAATATTTATTCCGATCACAATTAGTTTGAATATTTATTGATATGAAATTGGTGGTAAGTTTATCGAATTCATATCGTAAACGATTCTAAAATTGTTGATGCAAATATAGTAAAAACGCAACATTCTCATACTGACTATGATCTGAATATTTTCACTTAAAAAATAAAATGCTAGGTAATTAAAGTGGCAGAGATTTTTTTTTTCCATATTTTCGGACCGACTACAGTCTTAAAAATTGCATCATAAAAATAGAAAGGATTTTTTATTACCATATTTCCAGACCAACTATGGTCTGAAAAATTGCAAGATAATTTTTTAAGTTAAATGATATTTAAAAGGGAGTGTATCTTGGATATATGCAGACCAAAAGAAGTATGGAAAAATGCACCAAAACAATGTAATTTTCATAATTAAGGAAAAAAAATCAACAATTTCATAATGCATATAAGAGTATTTAACATTATAAATAAAGTTTAAGGATAAACAAAACTAATTTAATGATATAAAATTTCAAATCTTGATCTTCTTTTGTTGTTGATTTCTTCTCAACTGTCTCTCTATTGGTCTCCTCCCAAAAGCCCTAAATTTGATTTTTGAATGGGTATTTATAGCGTTTAAAAAACCCTATTAGAAAAGAAGTAAGACGGGACCAAATCAAAAAAAGTGAATTCTGGGTGCTTAAAGTATAGTGTTGACACTATGAATTATGTATCGACACCATTCTCGTGTTGGGTTTCAGGGTTCTTTTGCAATTTCTTCAATGGTAAAATATCAGATTTGGTTCTCCATATTTTATAAAATGAGCACTTTGGGCATAACTTAAGATTCATTCATTTAGGTCTCAAAAAGGCACCTTTCTTCTTGCAATTCAATTTCTCAACTTTCAAATAATATTCAATTAATCTCAAAAACTCATATGATTATGCATTCATGTCCTTTTTTGCACAAAAAATTGAAAAAAATGTAAAATATATTGAAAATCATATATTATCTATGTAAATAGTAACAACATCAAAGCTAATATAATAGATTAAAACATATAAAATACTTTTCATCACTACACTCTAAATGAGCTTTT